GTGTGTGTGTGTGTGTGTGTGTGTAAGGGCCCTGTGACGGATAGATAATGGATGGATTCTGTCTTGGTTGCTTTGCTGGCCTGCCGAGACGCTGGGTGGCCAGCCCTGAGTACTGCATGCTCCCCCCACAAAAAATAAAAACAGCAGGAGCAATGTCCAGTTAAAAATAACTACGTCAGTAATGCAGATGTGAAATAAAGTGTAAATCAGCACAGCCCTCAGCTCCGAAGGGCACCGTTTTACCATCCCTGACTTTCTCTGGGAAATTACTGGGAGGTCTGTGCTTGTATTTCAGATTCACTGTTTCATCACTGCAATTTCGATCTGATTGATGATTAAAGAGCAGGACTTGGTGATACAATTAAAATCAATAGCTTCCTCTATGCTGCAGTCATCTCTCACTCAAGGAGTCCTTCACTATAGGTAAAATTGGCCTACATCCACCGACTTTCAGTTAACTTTGGTTTCACTGCCAAACCAGATAGAATTTGACCGGGAAAAGCTTACAGTCTCTGAAGGCTGGGTGTTTTATAAAATACATTTAAATTAGCACTGGGTTCACAGAGGAAACCACAGCAACCTACAATCCACATAACTACCTCAGCGCTGCAATTAAGAGATGAGGTGGAACAAAGATACTCTTTAGCTATCAGGGTCCTGGGAAGGCCTGCCTGGGTCTGCCACAGGAGCCCAATCATTTAACATGCTTGTTATTTAAATCTAAAATTTAAATTCTGACAAAAAAAAGGCTCTCTTGTTTTTCATCATTTCAGTTTTGTCGTGGCTGATGATTACCAAGGTAAAAAAGAAAAAAACTCAAATGTCAAGATTAATTTCCCTCAGAAGTAATTCTCCCTGGATCGTTTTCTGCCGCTGACATAACAAAAGACCGGGAACAACAATACGTCAGCGGCTGCATGGTTTACAGAAACCAGGGCATCGCGTCCTCCGCCGGCGCCGCCTTCCCCAGCCCTGTCTCTCCGCACGAAGCAGGCCGGCATCGCGTCCTCCGCCGCCTTCCCCAGCCCTGTCTCTCCGCACGAAGCAGGCCGGCATCGCGTCCTCCGCCGCCGCCGCCTTCCCCAGCACTGTCTCGCCGCACGAAGCAGGCCGGCATCGCGTCCTCCGACGCCGCCGCCTTCCCCAGCACTGTCTCGCCGCACAAAGCAGGCCACACATCTGCCTGAGATAAATAAGTGCTTTTCTAGTCACCATGTCCGTTCCAGACTTATCGCAAGCTTTCACCCAGCGGTGTCAGTGACCCCCCCTCCCTCTGTCATTTCGTCTTTGACCTGCCCCCAGTTCCACCCGGCACCCCCACCCCCTGTCGGTCACTGGGTCAGGCATCTGCACTCCCCCGCCTCGTCCTCCGTCTCTGCGTAAACAGAAGCAGACTGTCGTTCCCTCCCCCCACCCAACTGGCCGTTCCTGCAGGTTTTACTCACGACGGGACGCCTGATTAAAACCGTTTAGCACTTTTGTTTATTATGCTAAAACCCGGCTCGTGTAATTAATTTTCCCTGCCGTTCTGCCACTCAGCGTTAAACTCCCACACTAAGGGTATGTATATATGATGTAATGCCTCTCACAGTCACTATTTACAATCTCCCATTACCCGCCTTCCCATGGGACACAATGAGCCGCACCCCCAATGGTTCAGCCCCCGCCCCCCCGGCGTACGCTCGCTCCAAAACATTAGACACCTGCCACATCCATTAGCCAAGCACTGCCACTCTCCATGGGTCACGTGCGGCAGCAGGATTCAGACCAGGTGCCCGTTCGTCCGTGTGCAGGGTGGCCGGTGTGAGCGCGGTCAGTACAGGCCGGCGAGAGCCCCACACGCTGGCGGCCCAGGGAACTGCAGGCGCGTGACATAAACCAGAGATACAAGGGCCCACAGATTTTAGCGGGACGACAACATAACGCAAGATGAGTAATACACGAGTGTTCTTCCTGAAAGGCACGCACGTGGAGCGGAACAGCACACTACACTCTGCTGTTTACGACAGAGACAACAACAAAGCAAAAAAACAAAGAAAAGAGCAAACATACACTGTACACAGCTCCGTAAGCCACTACTAACAATCCTTCCAGAATACCACTTTACACTTCAAATTCTATTTTTCCGCTGCAGTCCAAAACCGCGATCAAGTGTGTGCTCCGCAATGGACTGACATCCCATAATCCCTGGGATCTACCCAGTGTAACACTGCACTACATACACAGTATTAAAGGTGCATGGAGAACGACACATATTTTCTATATAATCTCTAAAGTGGTTATGAGACAGATGGATGGATGGATTACACACTCCCACAGTTCATATATTCCTATCTTTGTGGGGACTCTCCATTCATTTCTATGGGCCTAATCCTTACTATCATAACCTAACCCCTACCCAGCCCTAATAATAAAAATCTCACTTTACTGATTTCCTGCAGGGAAAGACTTTTGGCTATTTTAGTTTTTTGAGTGCAGTCACAGATTTTTATAAAGTTGAGGTTTATATTGCAGGCACACACACACACACACACGCACATGTAGGGTAAACATATCCTTATGGGGACTGCTCATTCATTTCAATGGGAAAAATGCTAACGCTAACTATGACAACCTTAACCCCCACCCTGCCCTAACCATAACCATAATTAACCTGACAAAATACAAGAGTTTTTGCATTTTTAGTTTTTTCATAGCAGTCACCGATTTTTCTAAAATAGAGTTTTCCCTTATGGGGACCAGTAAACCGGTCCCCATAAGGGAAAAAAAACAGATATTTATCACGTTATGGGGACATTGTGTCCCCATAAGGATAGGTAAACCCGCTCGCACACACACACAGACTCACACAGACACATGGCACAGACACACACACATGCACGCACACACACACACACACACACACACTGAACTATCATCCACCTAGCTGTAATCATTTTTTTATGCACTCAAAGTACAAACTTTTTCAAATGTTTATTTTAGATATTCAACACATTGTTTAAAAGGTTTGTTGTTGCTATTCAAAATAGTATAAGCTTATAAAAACTTCCAGGATTGAAGAGCAAATTGGTTTGAACGTGGAAACATTTTGTTCAGCTGCGTACATGAAATCCTTGTGCATATTTAAAATCTGCTCACAGTGAGTGTACAGCACGGGAATGAGAGCCACTGGCAGGGGACTGCAGACACTGTTTTTGTAAGCATTTCATCATATTTTTGGATGCATTCTGCCGTCACACATTACCTGAACCTTTTCCCATGCACATTGCTGGCCCAGTAAAATTGTTATCTTGCCAACTAGGTTCAGAGGTTTTCCTCCTATTAAAAGGTGTTATACTTCATAATATCTAATTAAGCCGTATTTATCCTTGTTTACCATTAGCAAGCTGCACTTACTGATTCTAACGCAAAATGTAATGACCTTGTAATCACGGGAAACATTACGCTTATTTTTATGGACAGTGTTGAGCATTGGCTTGTAGGAATTCAAAAAAAATGCTTAAAATCACAGACAGCGTGGTTGGGAGAGCGAGCAGGGGGTCACTAAAGGGAGTTTCAAATTAGGGGTGAGGTAGGTCACGCATGCCTAGGGTCATCGGTTCGACTAGAAATTTATAAATAACAAGCAGAATGACCTCCAGTAAAGGTATGAAGGAGTCCTCACCTTCTTCATATCCTCTCTGATGATGATCGCTAATCGTGATCAGAATGACTATGCGTAAGCAGAGATGAGCTGCACCAGATTCCTGACGTGCAGCTGGCTGTCTGGCACTTTCTACATATGAAGCTATGCTCCTCAAACTGTCTCACTTACTCTCTGCATGTCAACAGGGATCAGTCTGTGTCTCCCTAATGGGAACATTTTAAAGAGAATTGATACAGAGCTCCAGTTCACAAAGACAACCCCTGAATTGTAAAGTTTGTTATTAAATATATATGGTCGCCCCACCGGCATCAGATCCTGGAGTCAGTACTGTCAGTGTCAAACCAAAAAATACACACAGCTGCAGCTTCTAAGACTGTGCTTTTGTAGTATTCTCAGCTATACATATCTGCACGCTCATCATGTTTTCCTTGGATTTGTAGCTAGACAATAAGACACTACCCACATAGCAAGTGATTCTGGGCCAGATCCGCCTGTGTCTCCTTAAATTTGGGCACCAGTGACATCCGGCCAGGAGAGTCTGCACCAGAATCTGTCCAGAGTTCTAAATGATACTGTTGGTCTGTATACGCTCCGAAGATCCGGCGCGCATTCGCCTGACCGTATATGTATGATCACTCACTTACCAGATGCGCAGCTGATGTGCTGAGAATCTGAAGGACGATCGCCCCACATAGTGAGATGAGTCTGAACCGGGTCTGGGCCAAATGTTGTTCAGAAATTGCCACAGATCCATAAACCGGATCTGGCCCAATGTCTTTTTACACAACGGACCAATACTGGTCCAAATTCGCTTTCTGGATACAGATAAGGGCCACATATGGGCCGGATTTACATTGAATGTTAACAAATCTGGCCCGCATGAGCACCAGAGTCAAAATCAGAGTCATTTAAAAAAAAAATAAAAAATTTCAAAATGTAGCTACAGTACAGAACAAGACGTTTACAGCGAAAGACATTCACTTTATTGTACATATTGGACTTTGTAGTCGCCTTTAGCGTCTAAATATAAATACTGCCATCTTCTGGTGTAAGGAAATATAACATCTCTTCAAATGTATAATAGAATAGAATGGAATAGAATAGTATAGAATAGAATACAATTGACGTTGGCCTAAACTTGACGTTGTGAAGTAAATTTTGAAATACTACACGTACATATATGCGCTCAATATATAAGTCATGTTGTCTTCTATATAACACATTGCCCAACGTGGATTATACGCTGATTGTGGGTTTTAGCCACAATCAAAATGGCGTGCCGATGATGACATGTTCTAAGTCACGTGGCGCTTCTTACGCCCCGATTGGATTACTGCCACAGGGCCTTGACCAATCGTAGCGCACCGTTAACCGCAGACGCGTCGAAGCAGCCGGGCAATACGAAAAATGGCGGCGCTCAGTCCTGAGTTTGGAGATTTGGTACAAATTAAAAAGCAGCTTATTTCTGTCATAGGCCTTTGCAGAGAACGAGGATTAGTTCACAGTGCAAAATGGTGAGAAACTTGTTTTTTTATTACTTATGTAACATACGCATGTCCACATTAACGTACCCACCGTTTACTATAGCTATTTATAAAGTGTTGCACCTACAATGTTGGTATGTGTGCTGTGTTTTAATGGTGAGCTCTGTAACGTGTTTATTGCCTTATTTATGTACCTTTTCCGTACTGTTAGTTGGTTGGTCCTATTTGAACATTTGTAACAGGTGAAATACGTATATATTCTATACAGTTAGCAGGGTTAATCAGGCACGTTAACGGCTCGTTTTCACGTCACTGCTTGTTTCCAGGGCGTCCGAGCTCGCGTTTGCCTTGAACCCGCTGCCAATGAACGAGATGCCGACGCCGCCCCCTCTCACCGAGGTATCTAGTCGCAGTAAAGCATGCACCATAGGGCAGTGTTTCTCAAACCGGTCCCCGGGCACCCTCACACGCTCCACGTTTTTGCTCCCTGCCTCACAGTCCACATTTTTGGGATTCCAAACAGCAAAAACGTGGACTGTCTGGGGTCCCAGCTCACCTTAGTGTCTTTGTGGATTGACTGCTGGTCCAGTCTTTAGTTGAGAAAACGTTTATAACGTCTTATGAAGCGTTAAACATAGGCAAAGTAGTGATTTTGCTGTTAGTATTCTAGAAGATGGCAAAGAAGGTACGTGTTTGTATGATAAACGATAAATGAGCAAGTCAGGCGTTCTCTCCATCCGTTCTCCACCTGCTTTTCCAATACAAGGTCATCAGGAGACCTTGAGCCTGTCCCGGGCAGCACAAAGCTGGGCACGCCGTGGGCGGGATGCCAGTCCCTCGCAAAGCACGCGCCGCGGAGATCGTGCAGCGAAAAGGATGCTCTTTTGTGTGAATGACTGAAAATAATTTACAGCCCCTCTCCTCCTTGCAGGAAGATGTACAAGACTTCGATGCCCTGTGTTTGGCCAAGTCCTATTTTGACCTTAAAGAGTATGACCGTGCAGCGTACTTCCTGAGGGGCTGCAGTAGCCAAAAGGGATACTTCCTTTACATGTACTCCTGTTACCTGGTAGGTGGCACTCCTGCAGACCCCCCCCCCCCCTTCAGCCACCTCCCCTCTAACCGTGCCGCATGTCTCCCTCTTTCCTGCTTCATGACACCCCTCTCTAAGTCTGGGGAGAAGAAGAAGGATGATGAGACTGTGGACAGTCTGGGTGAGTCTGTAGCCTTTGGAGCGCTGCCCTGCTGTTCGTGGGAGATTGGCTTACATCAGAGCTCTGTGGGCAGAATGAAAAATTATTTATGTCTCTGAACCAAGGTCCAAGCAACTAGAGGAGGCGGGACCAGGGCATCTGGTTGGTCATGCCTCCTCTAGTTGCTTAGACCCACCTCCTCTCCAGTCTGATTGGTTATCTCTCTGAACCAATCATTTTTCATACTGCCCTCAGAATAGTTTTGTGTCCCATTACGCTGGCCAACTGGCTGATGGAGACAGTCATCAGTCAGGAGCTTTCAAATGATTTGGTGTGTGGTGTTTTTTCTTTCCCCCCCCCCTCCCTCCCTGCGGTGTGATTGACTACAGGGCCCCTAGAGAAAGGACAGGTGCGGAACGAGGCGCTGCGAGAGCTGAGGGCAGAGCTAAGCAAGAAGCATCGGGCAGGAGAGCTGGACGGCTTTGCCCTCTATCTGTATGTGAGCCAAGGCGGTCAATTTGTTTTTTTTTTTTTTACTTCCGAGCTGATGAACGGCTGACACATGGCAAGTCGTGCACAAAAATGTCTTCCTCAAGCTCTCGGAGGCACACTGTGGTCATTGTTTTTCATTTGTGCTTTTGGTTTAGAGTGATTTAGATACACAAGTGAAGAACATTTAAAAAATATTTTACCCCTCCCCCCATGAACAATTTGCACATTGCACTTTTTAAACTCCTGTTTACTATTTTATTTACCTTTCTTTACTTGATACTTAACTTGAATAGTGTTATTAGGTTCTTATTCTGTTAAATGCCATTGGTGTAGTCCTGGGGCCTGTTTCACAAAGCAGGATTTCTTGCTTAGCTGGATAACTTGTAGGATTTAAGGTAGCCTGGGCCAAATGTAAGTGGATGAAAATAAAGTCTATTTAGCCCAGACTACCTTAAATCTGACAAGTTATACGGTTAAGCAAGAAATCCTGCTTTGTGAAACAGGCCCCTGTAGCTTTTGTGTAGCTCCTACTCCAGTCCTGCTCAGTCTAGCTGCACTAATGCCCAGCCGAACCCCTGACAGCACTTATGTTTCTCATGTGCTATTTGCCTCACTTGTATGTCATTCTGGACAGAAGTGTCTAAATGGGAGTTCTCATTGCCTGCATCTACCGCATCTATCTAGTTTACGTGGTGTCTCTCTGATACACCTGAGTAACGCCAGTGGTTAGTGACAGATTTAAGCTTGTGGGAGTTTTACTTTCACAAAAATGCTGAGGGCCCGCCTCCTCTACAATCTGATTGGTCATCTCTCTGAACCAATGATTGAACCGGCTGGTGGTAATGATGCAGTGCTGACCTGCCAGGGGGCGCCATAGCTGACTGTTGTCCTCGTGCAGGTACGGCGTGGTGCTGCGGAAGCTGGACCTGCTGAAGGAGGCCGTGGATGTGTTTGTGGAGGCCATCCATGCCCTGCCGCTGCACTGGGGATCCTGGCTGGAGCTTTGCAATCTCATCACCAACATAGAGATGGTACTGCTGTCACCCTGACCCTGCCTCTGCTATGCTACGGTTCCTCTTAATCGCGCTTGGTTTTTATTTATAGACACGGTCTGCATATAGTTGTGCTCTGACCTCATATCAGGATCAGAATCAGAACTCATTTTATGGTCCAGGTACACCTGGAATTTGTCTTGGCGGTATTAGATGCAAACAGCGTAGAAAATAAATTAAGAAAAATAATAGCAGAAATAATTATATATTTTAAATGATGAGCGATACAGCCTCTCCCCAGGTTACGATGGGATTACGTTCCGACAAACATATCATAAGGCAAAAAAGCATTTTAATACAGTGCACCTAACCTAACAAACATCACAGCCTGGCCTAACCTACCTTAAACACTTACATTAGTCTACAGTTGGGCAAAATCATTAATGCAAAGCCTGTTTTATAATAAAGTGTTGAATATTTCATGGAATTTTATTGAATCATGTTCTGTAAGTGGAAAAACATTTACCCATTATAAAGCTGAAATATAATAGGTACTTCATTAATCCCCGTTGGGAATTTGTCTTTATGCCTCCCTCAACTTGTTGTCCCTCAAGGGCAGCCACCCGTATTGGCACTCAGGGAGCTGGGGGTTAAGGGCCTTGCTCAAGGACCCACAGAGACGCTGAGGCTGGGTTTGAACCGGCAACCTTGTGATTACAGGCACACAGGCTTAGCCCACTGAGCCACACGCTGCCAGGGAGTGTTTGTAGTATAAATTAGTACAAATTGAAATCAGGAAATCGGTATTTACAAAACATGCAGTGTGAACTTGTCTTGCTGGATGTGCAAGTGTAAGAACTGCCTGCATCCAGGTACCTGAATAAATAAAGATATATATTAAGTACAAATATGCACATTTATGTGTCAGGACATTGCAGCACCTAAACATGCAACGAGTCCAAGACCATCCAAAAAGTGTGTGGACAGAAATCCAGAGGTGTGCAGATGTTATGGGAAATTGTACTTTTCTCTGGTTGCTTTTTATCAGGATTCCCCAGTTCAGGTCCTGGAGGACCAGTCTGTAACACATTTTGCAGATTTCCCTGCTGAAATGCATCTTAGTAGGTGTGCCTGAGCAGGGAAATCTGCGGACTGGTGCGGACTGGCCCTCCAGGACCGGAACTGGGGAACCCCGCTTGATATATTGTGAGTTGCACTAATGGCCGTAACTCTGTCTTTCAGCTGAAGTCTCTGTCACTACCAGACTGCTGGATCAAGGACTTCTTCCTGGCTCACATGTACACGGAGCTGCAGATGATCAAGGAGGCACTGCAGAAGTACCAGAGCCTGATCGACGTTGGCTTCTCCAAGAGCACCTACATCATCTCGCAGATCGCCGTGGCTTACCACAACATCCGCGGTCAGCAGCCCCTGGTTCTTCTGCGCCATAGCCTCTGTCCTCTGCTGCCCTTTGATTCGTCTTGCGTTCCTGCTCCTCCCTGATGCCTATGTACCCTAATCCATAATTGTGATGCTCGAAATTCTCCCTCCTGGTCTTCAGACATCGATCAAGCCCTGCTGCTCTTCAACGAGCTGAGGAACCAGGACCCGTATCGCATCGAAAACATGGACACCTTCTCCAACCTTCTCTATGTCAGGGTGAGACCAGGCTCTGAGAGAACCGCCCTTTCTAGACTGGAAAAGAACATTCATCTGATCAGCTAGGTCCAAAAGTTTTCTTTGTACTAACAGGTGGTATTTCTGGTAATATTTACTTTTAAGCTATGCTTATCTTTGCTATTAATACATAATAGTTATACTTTTTTCATCCCCCATGATGATTTTCTCTTTTCACCCACCCCATCTTGCTCTCCATAAAACACACACACACAGAGGTGATTACCAGCTTGGAGTTCCAGCGTGGGGTTAGTTCTGGGTTAGGGTCCTTGTTCAAGGGTCCAGTGGTGGCATCAGCCTGCTGACCACAGGATTCCAAACCAACGCCCTACCACACTAAAGCAGGGCTTCTGGCAGCAGTGGGATTTAAACCCCCCACCTCAGAGGAGACTGGAGCCTTAGCCCAGTGCCTTAGACCTCTGGGCCTCGTTTACTCTCACATGGCGCTTTTCCACTGCCACCGAGCCGCTACCAAGCCGTACCGCGAAGTGACGGTTTGTCATTGTAAATTATCCGTGTCGTGCCCGCGCTGGCATGGCCCTGTTTACTAGCAGGGCTGAGAGCTTGACCAGACTGAGCTGGTTGCATCACCACCACCAGATTGGTCGAAATGCATGGAGATACCAGTGTTCTGCATCAATATGCGTGGATTATCTGAAGGAAAAAAACAGCATATTCTGTATATTATTCATTATTAGTAGTATTGCACATTGCGATGTTTTGATGCTTTCCCGATAACTAGGAACTTAACGAATGCTAATTCCACTAGCGCTTGATTCTGTCTTACATAACACAGAGATTTGCGCAGACTTGCTAGGAGAAATCAGCACATAATAAATTGATGTAAATAGTAAATAAGTGCCTCTCGAGTTTTACGGCACTATCGCTCTCCAAACCCAGCAACATCTTTACTGAGCCGACCCATCTGCAGTGAAAAGCCAAAGCAAGCCGGAACTGTAACTAGGCTCGGTTCCTGATTGCCAGTGGAAAAGCGCCGTATGCACATAAGCGATACCCTCCTACACTGATGTCCTCTGTAACTGCCAACAGAGCATGAAGGCTGAGCTGAGCTTCCTGGCCCACGACCTCGCCGAGATTGACAAGTACAGAGTGGAGACGTGCTGTGTCATCGGTGAGCATGCGACGCGGAAACGCGGCCCAGTTGATTGTCCCGTGGGTTCCATCCTGATGTGCCCTGTTCACAGCTGCCCCACCTGGTTTGCAGGTAACTACTACAGCCTGCGCTCGCAGCACGAGAAGGCGGCACTGTACTTCCAGAGAGCCCTGAAGCTGAACCCCCGCTGTCTGGGCGCCTGGACGCTGATGGGCCACGAGTACATGGAGATGAAGAACACCTCGGCAGCCATTCAGGCGTACCGGTGAGGACAGACGCGTCTCCAGGGCTCGCCGTGTACCAGGCGGCCCCTGTCATTCCTGCAATGCCGTCAGTCTTCAAGAAGCTCTAATTGAAATGCTAGTCTTTTGAAATTCTACGTTTCATTGTATTCCCCTAATGGGACCACTCTGCGGCCATTAAGCCCAGGTCATACTTTAACTTTTCCGCGTGACCTTTCAGGCTGGGGATGGCGGATGGCTGTCCGCGTGGCAGTGTATATCTATACTACATTAGTCAAGGTATTATGGTAATACGGCATACCAAGCTATTTTTAAATCTTTACGACATACTGGAATGGTGTTGCTTTTAAAAATACCGTTTACCTTAGTATAATCTCTGGATAGTATGAGAATTGGATTATCGGGTTCCTCCGACCCTCCTCATATGGCTGCTCACCATAATTACCACTACAACAATGGCTGTTCTTCCTCTACTCTTTCATCGTTGACCGCTGAGCTGTGAAAGTCAGTGCTGCCACCTACTGGAAATACCTAATCAATTATCTTACACATGCACGGTCAATGCTCAAGATTTCTGCTAGACTTAAAGATCTGGCCACCGAACACAGTTGTCCACAGCCAAACCCTGATGACGAAATTTACATCACCCTCATTCGCAACCAAAAGTGCATGCAGAAAAGTGTGAATTGACCTTTAGCTTAATAACTCAAAGTATTTCACTTTTTCCAACTTTGAGACATACTAGTGAACATCTGGAACTGATACAATTATGAGCTGCATATATTACAGCAAAGGGCAACCTTACACATTTGATCGCGTTACTGTGCTAACTCAAAAAGTGTTTTATGGATCTTATTGCCAAAAAACATTATATGGATGACAGGGCTTGAATATGGATGAGTGACATGGCCATCCAGGGAATGCATTGCTGTCATTCCAACAACATCTGGGTTTTCTGAGCAATTCAGTAACTGTACTCTTGATGTTTCTGTGTTAGAGGTGCAGAATCTGGTGAGTGGATCATGTGATCGCGCCTCTGTCGCCAGTTATCATTGTACTTGTGGAACGTGCTTGAGGAACAGTAATGTCACTAATGGTAAGTTTGGTTTCTCTCACAAGGCACGCCATAGAAGTGAACAAGCGAGACTACCGAGCATGGTACGGGCTCGGCCAGACCTACGAGATCCTCAAATTGCACTTCTACTGTCTCTACTACTACCGCAGAGCCCACCAGCTGAGGTGCGTGGCTTCCGCCGTCGCCAACTGGCCCGCTGTGGAGTTCGGTCTTAGTCACTTCCGTTATTGCTACGCAATGAGAAAATCTGATCCCTCACTTCTGGTTGCAGAGTGATTTTGCGCCAAGTTCATCTTAATTGAACTTTGACCTGCAAATTCCCGTGGCTCAGCCAATCGCGTGCGGTGTGGGAGGGGTTGACTTCTCAGCTTACCCAGCCGTTGGCCGCGGAGCAACAAAGTCTTTTTAACTGTGGATTGCCAGAATGTGAATTTGAAAACAGGAGAAAAGCTGCATGACTGACAGAGAGCACTTGAACAAGGCCCTTAACCCTGAGCTTCTTGGGCGCTACTATGGGTGGCTGCCCTTCGCGGACAACTTATGCTGCAAAGAGCAAGCTGAGGGATGCATAAAGACAATTTCCCCCCGGGGACAGTAAAATATCTATTATTATTATTAGTTAGTGTGCGTCACACCTAGCCTACCGGGCCAGAAAGCTAATACAGTGGCACCTCGGTTCTCGAACTTAATCCGTTCCGGACTCCGGATCGAATCCTAAAAAGTTCGAGTTCTGATCGAATCTTTCCCATAAGAAATAATGGAAAACCAATTAATTGGTTCCCGGCCCACCAGAATTACACCTAAATTTTTTTTCTTTTAGCATTTAAACACAAAATGAACAGGATAAAACAAGAAGAGCATTTTTTTCTTAATGGCTTCCAAGAGCTTATCCCAACAATACCCCTGTCCTGCCCCGATCGTCCACTCCTTCTGTGTGCCACGCCCCCTCGTTAACCTCGTGTGGGATCCCCATGTGATCAGCTGTTTCTGGTTGTTGTGATTAATCCTCTGTATTAAGTCCGCGTTTCAGTTTGTTTCCCCAGTCTGGTCATTGGGTGCGTTCGACTTGCTTACAGCGCTGGCTTAAAGCAACGCATTCTGATCCTGACGCAATGCATTACGGTTAGATGCATTGCGACCTCTCACCCGGCTGCACAAACTGGAACCGCCTCCGTGACGACACACCTTTGCCCTTATTGGCTGAAGAGTTTAGTTACACGCATGACGTTTGTATCCCAGGCAGTTCCGATGCGTAATCTGCTATTTCTCCCGAATATCACGTAAAGCAGTGAGAACTGGTTTTCAGTTAATTTACCTGTTAAAATGAAGTTTAAATAAATTACATAAATGCTCTAATAGTACATGTAAGTTAGTGGTTTATTTATTGTTAGTTACTGTAATGTTGCGCTACTTTATTTGGTTAATCGTCCAATCTGTGAAGAAGGCATTCAAGTAAGAATTGCATTATAATATGACTCATTTCCTGGCGCGTACAATTTTATATTAGGTCAGCGTTCATGGTTCGACTTCTGATATTCAGATTGAGTTCTAGGTCAAACTGGTTTGTTCAACTTTCAAGAAATTCGAGTTCTAGTGAGTTGGAAAACCGAGGTTCCACTGTATTACAATATGCATTTATTTATTTTGCTTGACGCTGTGAAAGACGGTGCAGTTCCATCACACTGGTATCACCTCGTCTTCGCTCCGCTCTTCACCGCGTCTTCGCCGGTGCCGGCGTCCGTTGAAAATCCTTTGTGTCCCTCTAGACCCAACGATTCTCGCATGCTTGTCGCTTTGGGCGAGTGCTACGAGAAGCTGTCCCAGCTGGTGGAAGCCAAGAAGGTGAGCATGTGATTCTAGATGTTTCTGGCAAAATGTGGTGAATCTGGCCGGCTGGCTGCGTGGGACAATGCGACCGCCGCCCTGTGAGCGGTACACGCCTCTCTACCTAGCAGTCGTCGCATCATTCGTGGTCTTTTATGTCTGAGGACGGTCGTTCTGCTGCTTTTCATATGCGGGCTGAGAGCCGTTGCCCATTTTCTTATGCGGGGTTCTTGTAGAGGGTGGGATGCCTCTTAAAATAATGGGGCTTCCTAAAATCTGAAATGTTCCCTGTGGCTTTGCTGCAGTTTAAGGGTAGTTACTCGAAAAACGACCTTACTACTACTTTTAACATTTCTTTTGACTGCCACAGACACACAGTACTTTGTGTGTGTGTGTGTGTTTATGTGTAAATATAAAATGGTGTAGTATTTGCTTATAACATACACACATCCTGCCATATACTGGTGCTCTGCGTGCAGCAAATTCAGGTTTTGCTCTGTGCTTCTTGGATTTGAGTGAGTACCCCTCTGACTGATGGCTTGCCTTCTGTGTATCAGTGCTACTGGAGAGCGTACTCTGTTGGGGACGTGGAGAGGATGGCACTGCTCAAACTGGCCAAGTGAGTCTTCGTGGATTGTGTGCCTGTACGCATGCTGCACTCCGCCGGTGCATCCAGTGATTCTCCAACCTCTCACACTCCCACAGACTCCACGAGCAGCTGAACGAGTCGGATGATGCCGCCCAGTGTTACATTATTTACATCCAGGACGTCTATTCCTGCGCGGTGAGATTAGCACGCAGACACACGCATCCCCGGGCATCCGTGTATTGCGCCTGTTGTGCAGAGGACGTATCTTTAGCTAGCGGATGTCTGCAAACGCTTTCTCTCCTACCGCTTAGGAGCCCTTGGAGCACGTGGAGGTGAGCACCGCGCTCCGGTACCTGGGCCAGTACTACTTCAAAAACAAACGATACGATGAGGCGGCGCTCTGCGCTCAGCGGTGCTGTGACTCCAATGACGTGAGTGTTCAGTCCCCCCCCCCCCCCCCCCAGTAAATGCTTATGAGGAGCTATTGTTTTTTCATATATCCTCCTGAGATCCAGCGATTCATGTCTGTCCTCTGTGGAACACATTGTTTTTGTTCATATCTCTCACATTGTACCTACCATTCTATCAGGGCCTGTTGGTACTTAAAGATGACAGTCAGAGCTTTAAGATGACATCACTTCTGTTTTGGTCTGACCTTGTCAACTTTCTCTCTCTGTCAAATCATTTTTTGCCACCCCGGAGCTTGGGGGGGAATGCATGGTTGGGGACAAAGTGTCCCCATAACCCTAACCCTCTGAAAAACTGTGCATGGTAATTGCAGCCTCACGTTGGAAGCTGTAGGCCATGTGTCCACGGCTGAATTCACACGCGTGTGTTTACGCTGCCTCCGTTTCTCGCCGTCCTGCAGCCTCACGTAGGAAGCTGTAGGTCATGTGTCCACGGCTGAGTTCACACGCGTGTGTTTACACTGCCTCCGTTTCTCGCCGTCCTGCAGGCTCGGGAAGAAGGCAAAGCCCTTTTGCGACAGATCTCCCAAGTCCGAGAACAGGGGGAGGCAGCCTCAGCCGACGTGTCCCATCCCTGTGTCTTTGGACCCCTCTCCAACAATAACACCCCAGTCCGGAGAGTGTCCCCGCTTGACCTCTCCTCTGTCACCCCCTAACATGTACACCAATGCCAAAGCGCCTGAATCAGCTTCTGTCCCGTTCCTCTTCACTCTGTGGTTTTTCTGAACACCGGACTGAGAAGCCACCGATTAAACACCTACTAGGACGGCTTCAAGAGTGAATTCTGTTGCGCTCTCGCTTCTCTGGCACGTCCCTGGATTTTCTTGCATGCCAAATGCGATGCAGCTCTTCTTCAGGTATGGATAGGGGCAGAAGATGGGTTTAGTGTGTGTGTGTGCGCATTTTAGCTGTATGTGTGTGTTGCTGGCGTGCGGTGTGAGCAGAATGCAGGCATGGAGATGCGTATGTTCTTGATGTCAGAGTTCAGTGTTTCCATCAGATTCTTCTCGTCTGTTTCCTACATGTAAATATGTCTTTTTTTTTTTTTTTTTTGCATGTGCTCATGGAGCAAATGGAAAAGAGGATGGATTTGGAAAAAAAGTTCATAGTTATTAAAAATTATCTTTATAAGGAAATGTAGTTTTTTTTATTGCATTGGCGGTCTGTGATCTGTCTTTCGTGCCAGCCTGATTTAGGTGATCATACAGGTTAAATTTATTTCTTCGTCGACATCTGTGTTCAGGAACAATATCGCCTGAATTAAAATATTGTATCTGTGGAAGTGGCAATAAACTTCCAATGGACAAATTGGTTCATTGTTTTACAGTATTTACCCAGCGGTTTAAGGCTTGGCCAACTAAAATCAGTGTCCATGTATTTCTCCAACCTGCCTCACTAGATTGTTCATATATGAAGTAAGAAACGTAGATCTTGTTAAGTGAATAAAGGTCTAGTTTTACACAACGGATTTGAGTAATACGTTGCAAAAACACTTTAATGATGCACATGCCGTGACTCGACAGACTAAAGGCAAAAAGACACTGGAGACGCTGACGCAGTGCCTCTCCGGTGTTTGCTATTGTCGGAATACTTTTTTATCCCAGAGGGAATTGCTCGTGATTGCAGACTGCGTAATACACAAAACTACACAAAAGACAAAAATTGACAATACAAAGTGCCACACACAACAATTTCCGTATAAAAAGTGACAGATTTTAGTACAGATGTATAAGAAACTTTGCTTTATAAATGTTTTTCTTTGATTAAGGTAATAAAGATAAATGACATGAACAGGCTGTTTAAGTAACAACAGTATTGCAGAATGCAATGATTACTAACACGACACAATTTAAAATTCTACCCCATCTTCTGAATGCGAATGACACCAAAGCGCAAGCAAACAGCTGACTATACTTAAGCGTTAAAGTAAAAATAATGTATAGGCCTCATGTTAAGTTGTTTCGTCTAACAAGTCAATATACTTTATCAAGAGATCTAACATTACTGTAAGCGCAATTGCCTTTTTCATAATCCATTTTTCCTTTGCCAGAATTCAAACACTTGCTGCGTCACCACTCATCTATACATAGAAAATACCACTGATGGTGGATATATAGGCTTTCACTACAAATTTGATATATGTGAGACTTTCTCATTCTACAGTATAACATAAAACTTCCCGTACTTGGAAATCAAACGCAGTACATATGCGCATCGCCCAGCCGCAAAGCCTACGGCTTCGGGGCCGGTGAAGTAGCCTGCTCTCGTCCAATCCCCGCGCAGGACTTTATTTTGTCCCTCCTACAGGCAGGAAGTTTAATCCTGTTCCTAGACGCCATTTCGTATTCATCGGATGCCAGTTTTCAACGACGTTGAAGGTATTTGAGATGTCCTTTCAGTAAGGCTTCCTGGTAAAGCCTTTCGTTTGATTGTGTGCGGCGGTTAACGAGAATCGGTCACATTTCGCGACGTTCAGCAGGTAAATACTATCGCGCGCGTAATGTTTGATGCGGGATGAGCCACGAATTCGCGAGCCGGGCGCGTGTCTCGCGGGCGGAACAAGAGACGCAAGGTTAGGCGGCTTCGCGCTGCGGATAAAGCCCCTTTTATTTATATCATTTCGATTGCACGTATTTTATTTGTTTTGTTGTAGTGTACAGCTTCATTTTATTTTAATTCAGGCGGGGTTTATGGCCTTATATGTCTTTATTATGTGCGGGTTTTTTTTTTTATTCCGGGCGCTTCTCTGAGCTGTTGTTCGTAACGTCGGTTATTCTGTTTTTATTCGGGATTCTGTTAAAATATAAACAGTGCCGTCAGTCTATGCGCGTTTACGGTCTACGTAACGATACGGGATTCGACTCTCTTGTATAGTAAGTTCTCTTCATTTTGTGAATGGTACAGCATATTCGACGCCGTGCGATATAACAAAAAGGCGCACCCCCCCCCTCCGTTCGCTTTTCAAAATGGCTCCTCGGTGCTGCTGCTCTGGAAGGCCTCGTCATGGCCGCCAAAGCCCGCTTCTCACACCGACGCTATAGACAGTCCATAACGACATCTCATCCGTTTTTACATTTCTGTCATGCGAGCTGTTATACACATCTATATGTCTTGCTATCATCGCGTTTTAAAATGTAATTTCATAGGTACAAGTCGGCTTTGTGCTTTTCCGCGCTTCAAAAACCATCATTTTAAGCGCCGCGTGTATTTGAATTTGCGGATGAATTAAATAGGGTCGTGTAGATGGCCGCAGTGAACGCTCGTTTCCCATCACATTAGAAGGGCACGGATCAATTTCGGTGGTTATAATGGTTCAGGTGCCCCACGTGTTCTTGAGGGCAGTTTTTTTTTGTAACAATGAAATTGTTTTCGTCGCTGTTCCACACACGGGGAACGTAAGAACGTTGTTCAAGTCTGGTACGCAGGAAAATGTTTTATGTACCATTGTTTTCCCTTCTGTGTTTTGTAGACAGAGTAGCAACATGGTGAAGATCTTTGTTGGAAACCTGTCCCAGGAGACCACAGCTGATGAGCTGAGAGCCCTCTTTACTCAGTATGGGAAGGTTTCGGAGTGTGACATCGTCAAAAACTATGGCTTTGTGCACATGGACGAGAAGACCGAGGCGGACGAAGCCATACGCAACCTGCATCATTATGAGCTTCACGGCCAGCCGATGAACGTGGAGATCAGCCGCGGTAAAGTCAAAGCCTCCACCAAGCTGCACGTGGGCAACATCAACAGCACCTGCACCAACCAGGAGCTGCGGGCCAAGTTCGAGGAGTACGGGCCTGTAGTGGAGTGCGACATTGTGAAAGATTATGCCTTTGTGCATATGGAGCGGGTGGAGGATGCCATGGAGGCCATCAATGGGCTAGACAACACCGCCTTCCAAGGTGATCCCACTAGCTCAGTGGGGGGCAGTAGGCCAATATCATTCCCTGTGTTAGAGTGCATCTGACCTGAAACAAGAGCATTTCCAGGCCAAGGGCAGCTACTGTTCAGGGAGGTTCAGGTAGCACAGCTTAAGGCAGGCGGTCCACAGAGGCCGGGGAGAGAAGGACAGGTGCTGTGTACGACGGTGTCCTGCAGATCAGGCACTCCGTATAACAGTCAGAGGGTCGTCCAGCGAGTGTTTCCGTTGTAGGAGGAGTCATCTGAAATCGGGACCTCACGGCCTGGCCCTGATTAGTTCTGGAGGGGTCTGTCGGTTACTGTCAGGTGTTGGGTTGTTCAAAACTGCATTCGAAGCTAAATTTGAATTTTGCGGCATTCGGAAGATGGCACATATGCCCTCAGATTACTGTGATATGTAATGTGATTCGATTTATCATCCCATTCAGTTTACATCCTGGTGTTAACTGGCTTTCTAAGAAGCCATTTGAAAGTTTTACTAAGTGCTGAGCCAGGGGAAGCATCATCTTAAGCTGGTCAGGTTTAAGGACTTTGTCACCATGAATGCCGTTGCTTCTGTAGACAGCCAGTCCAGTCCTTAAAGGATCACATTTAACTTCAGCATACAAGATGCACATGCCTTGGATGCGGGCATTGTCCAACCATACAGCTTTACACTGACAAAAGGGATACACACGCACACCAAGATTTTAATACAGTGAAATTCTACATATGCACTATTATCACACCGAAGGGTGAGTGTTCAGGGCCGTTGGTTCCATATGAGTTCAACCATCTCTTACCAAAGCTTGCTGACCATCTTGACTTCCGATGTGTAGCTGCAGTTGGATCTCATTGGTGGGCAAGTTATGAAAATGAGGTGTGTGTGTGTATGTGTGTGCTTTATATGCATAACTGGGTTTAAACATTGAACAAACTCTGCAATGCTCATGCAGTATATTCACAATCGGAGTGTGTATGCGTGTTCGTGGCGTTTTTGGAGTTTGAAACTTTCACAATTTCTGTCACCAGCGGCATGGCAAGTTGCAAATTGTTTTGCGTCTCTCTTTTTAAGGCAAACTGATGAGCGTGAAGCTATCGACTAGCCGTCTGCGTACAGCGCCGGGAATGGGAGAGCGGACGGGTTGTTATCGGTGCGGGCAGGAAGGCCACTGGTCCAAAGAGTGCCCCATGGACCAGAACGGCTCCTTTGGAGAGGGTCCCATGGGACCCAGTGCCAACGGATTTGGTCCTCCCCGGTTCGGTGGGGGCGGTCGCGGCCGAGGTTTCCACCGAGGCTTCACCGGAGACCCTGGCTTCAGTGGCGGCTATGGCCCTGCGCAAGGCTTCGCGAGAGGGGGTGGCTTCGGAGGCGGTGGACCCGGCTACGGCAGGGGCATGGGCTACGACGGTGCCGTGAGTTATGGGCCGCCGGCGGGCTACAACTTCGGCGGTGACCGTAGTACCGTTCAGACATACGGCGGCGAGGCTGTTTACGGAAACAGCGCGAGCTATGGGGCGGTGCCTGCCTACCCTGTGCGGCACGCCGGCTACGAAGAGAGAGATCCATATGGCGTTGTGGACTTTTACGAGAAGTATCGTGCCCGTCCGTACGCTGCCAACTATTATGAGGAGCGTCGTGGCAACGCCATGCCCATCCCGTCCCCCATCCCTCCTGCCTCGGGGGCTGTTGCGAGGGATCGCATGTCCACCAACACCATTGATCCCTTTGAGCAGCGCCCCCTTCCTACAACGGCCCCCGTGTCTTCCTACTTCCCACGAGATCGAAGTCCCATCCGGCGAGTACCTCCTGCGGCCGAGGGCTACTCGTATGAGCGCTCGCGACTCTCGCCGACATCCTCGCTCAACAGAAGCTCCGTGTACGACGTATCGCGGGCCAGGGACCCCTATGACCAGTCGCGCTATGCTTATTAACCCGCATATCACCAGGTGAGACCTTGACTTGTAGCGGCCCGGCTATAGTCATAATGTTTTGTATTCAATGAATTCTTTTTTATTTAGCTACCAAATAATATTCAATAGATTAAACTGTTGGACGTTAGCAGCCAAAGAAATAATTCATAATTTGGCTAATTTCTGAGCTGAAGTAAGTAAAATGAGCTGCCTAGCTAGCAGTCTTAATTTTATGGTCGTCTTCGGCTACTTGCGTTCTGGGGTACTGTCAAGTGTTGACCCCTCGGGCCCCCCCCCCGGGTAACAGGTATTTTGTTGGGGCCTGATCATACTCAAGTAGCACATAGGGAGTGTAATATGCAGCTCTATCCCAGCTCAGCCTTTGGCTTGACCGGAGCAGACAGTATGTTGGACATGTTGGTGGTGGAGCAGAATGGATTGCTTGTGGTGTAATATGATGTGCTCTTTTTCCAGGTGTTTCTGTGCCGCGGTTCCACAGACGTGCGCTCATTCGTGGCTTTGTTTCGCCTCGCAGTGCCGTTCAACTACAGTGAAATCGGGACGTGCTAAATGTTTGTCTTGTTTGTATCAGTTGACCAACTTTTTCAAAAACCTTTCTTTGAACCCTTTTTTTTTCCTTTTTTTTTAAGATTTGGATATGTCCTCTTAGATCTTTTACCCAAAAACCTTTGTGTATAACAGCTTCACATTATTTGATGCGAGCTTTATTTTCAGTGTTAACTTTTCTAGCTCTTGTCTAATGTGCTTTTCTTTTCCTACAGAAGACTGCATACAGTGATCTTTGTCACATTTTGGAAGTCAATAGGACTTAGTTGGATTTTTTTTAAATAGTCTGGTTGAGCGCTTGCATATCTTAGTATGCGTTCCACTAGGCAATGTTAGTAAATAGGATTTGAGCTGTTATTAGCAACATTAAAGCTATTTGCGTTTAAGCTCACTGTGGTGTGATGGAGTTCCTGACTGAGAACCTCTGTTCTCCGCTTGCAGTAATTAACCAGACATATAAACATCACTAATAAACAATGACACATTTGTTAGCTTGCTTGAATACATTTAAGTATTACTAGTCTAGTACTCCTCTCCCTGCCCTGATTCCATACTAGTTAAAGGCCCCTTTCAAAAACAAGTCACGTATGCATCTTGACATCGATATAAAGAACTTTAAGTAGTTTTGGCATCTTTAATAACTGGACTTCACCTACTTGGTACACTAGCAGGGACAGTCACATGATTACTTAACCTCCCCCTTCTGCAAATGACATGTAAATATCCCATCACCGTGTCAGTCAGAAAGGAGCATGGGATATTTATTCATAGCGCAGTGTATTCTGTGGATCTCTGTAATTTTTTTAGCTTGGTTTTCAGACCGTGTGAAGTTTTTCTTTAGGGCTGTGGTAATATTTTGAAGCTTCATATGTGTTAGTGTTTGCAAGTAGGGAGTGGCCAAGACCTCCAAAACGAGTCTTCAGTCTTGAAATGTACTGCGTGAGCAAGCAACATCCATCCTTTGTTTTCATTTTCACTGTTGGTTGCGTTTCATTTTCAATTTTATTCAAGCAAATCATTTACCATTTGCCTCAAAGGTGACATTTATTGTACAGGTTCACTAGAGAACACCAACAGTTGCAGTTTGTACATGTGAATTAAACTGATACACGCAGTTTTGTTTTGCAAGACATTAAATTGGTTTAAGAGGAGGCCACAATTCATGTCATTTAAACATTATGCTTTGTGAGGTCACTGTTTAAAATCTTTTTTCTTTGGTCACAGATGAACTGAGGAACTGTTCAAATTAGTCATTTCTGTAACCCTTTACTTTTCTCAATAAAATAAAGTAAAATCAAAGTTGGATGTGTGTGCTCTAATTTCTCTACAATTCTGAGTGTTGGTTCACTACACAACTATATACCATGTTTCACTAAAGCTTGAATAGTGGAGCACAGATATACAACACAATTGAAGATAAATGATCGTGTCGAAGAGGAAGTTGTAGAAACCTGCAGTTAGATTTTTTTTTTTTTTTTTTTTAGAATGCAGTGTTACTGTGACGGCCTTTGCATTTTATGCAGTTGTGGTCACAGTACATTAGTTTGGATATGTCTAATTGGCAGTATCTTAGCATTGTCTACTTTTAATTTTGCTGGTACAGTGAGATGTAAATGCTCGATGGTACGCAACATCAGTTCCAGGCTTTAAGTTCAAACCCAAGAATCCTGGTTCTGAAACCTTGTCTCTATGTCTACATTAAATATCAGAAGCTTAGTACTAGATTCATCCCATATCTATCATTCTGCGATTAAACAACTGGATTTAGGTGGCTGTGACAGGTGACGTGTGCTTGTGTGATTAAACATTTCAGTTCAGGATGCTGACCATTTAAAGGCAAAAACAGTGCTACTACTGGTTTTCAATTATATACTCCATTTTCTGCAGGGATTCATGCTTTAATATTCAAATTATAACTTTTATAAGTCCGATATGTCATGAGAAAACTACACTTCTTGCCTTTAAATGTTTTTTGTATATGAACCAGAGATTACACATTTCTGAATGCACTTTCACTATGATATACAACCTAAATGTAATGTTTAGATTTTGTAATTCCTCTATATGGCAAAGGGTGTTGTGCAGAGAGAAGGCATGCAATTACACAAAAATATGATTTTGTGCTTTTTTTCCCCCCTTTATAGCGTGTGATCTCAAATCATCTTCCTGCTCTGAGACTTCTAGAGAAACCAGTATCCACCCTCAGTCTTCAAGTTACTCTCTGTCGCTCAAAGGTAGAGTCTGAACTGGAATTTAATTCCATTTGCAAACCTGTTATATTTCTCCTTGGGAGATATTTTATTGGATTTGTTTAATTAGCCTTATTCCTAGGATGTATGTTGTATGAATGTAGATTCAAAATCTGATTATACAGATGTGACGATAATTTTAAACATTTTGTTGCATTTATGAATCCTGATGGTTTTTTCCAGAGAAAAATATAAAAATCTAGACATTTACTGCTTTACACATGCTACGAAAAAGGCAGAGAACTTTAGTGCTTGCCAATTTTGTGTTGAATTCTGCATAGTTTATGGAAAAAAGTTTGCTGTAATGTTTTTAAAGGAAACTGCCTTCCATCAGTAGCTAAATCTCACTGTATTTTGCTGTTTGTTATATTGTTGCATTGTGTTGTTAGATCTTTACTGAACAGATAAAATGCATGTAACTTTATTTAGGTACAAATTCTCAGCCAAGGGGGCTGAAAAACACTGGTAAAATGTAAATGAGCGAGCAAGAAGTATGATGTTTAAATCATATCTCAGTCTGTTATTTGCCAGTTTTCATTTAACCTCATTTTAAACATTATTTAAAAAATATTGTATTACTTAAGTGCATTTAATATTCTTTGTGAATAGAGACCTTATCTTTTTATTTACAAACCTGTATGAGTTCAGGAAATATACATAAAATGATGTACTATATATAAGGGGTATTTAACAACTCTCTGAACAGAAGGTACAATCTACTGGGTGGTTTGTAACATCAAAGCTCTTGTTATATGGCACAAAAATGAAAAGCAAAGATTCCCAGTCAACCTCTTAACATTAATGAGTAATTTACAATACCCAAAATACCAAAGACTGGCCTATGGTTATGAGTTTGTTTTCTTTTTTTGCCAGAGGAACTTAAGGGAGAAAAGAACAATTTCTTCTGTGAAGGAAAGGTGTCATTTTTGGATGTTAAACTAGATTTCTGTTAAACTTCTGTTGTCTCTTGTTTCCATGTTTTCTTTTATAAAGTTGTTATTCATTTTTTTTTTTAAGTGGAAACTTTGCTATTGTGAATGAACACACAACAAAGACACGGCAAATTTCAAATCATTGATGTTATTAATCTTACGAATTGACCAAAGGCTCACATGGAGGACCTAACGAAATATCACAAACCAATACCAGAAACGATTGTCATGTCTACTTTCATTTGTTTTCTTAAGATAGGATAGATGTCCTTCAAAATGCATACTTTTAAACCTATATCATACTCATTTCAGGTAAATTGTTGATGAAGTTTACCATATCTTACTAGTAAACAGTTTAAAAAAAAGTTTCCAAAACCAACAAACATCTAAATATTTTTAGACTTATTGTTAGGTTTTGTACTGTAAAGTATATACTTCATTTATGGTGTCTTGCCCAAACCTTAGACTTGAATCATCCATCCATCCTCTAAAATCCTGTCAGGATCATAAAGCAGAAGCCTGTTTAACCAGCATAGGGCTTAAGGCTGGGGTACACCCTGGACAGCATACCAGTAGTGTCGATTTGTATTTTATAACAAAAATCAAGCAAAATTTACTCACTTACTGAGGGAGTAGACACCCTGCATTTTTGGCAACAATTTGGAGAATGATGAATTTATGAGTTGTTTGCCTTTTTGGTTGTGTTGATCATTTTAAAACAGTCTCCTTTATATTTTATTTATTACTATATTTTATTTATATTTATTAGTTTTGGTGTCCATGTTTTAAAACGCCTAGTCTCTTCAGCTGTCATTTTTGTTCATTGTGCTTTATTTTTGGAGAATTTGCTCTTTTTATCAAGCACCTTGCCCGTTTATAGTTCTTCTACAGCTGGTTTAAAAATGATTATTTTGCTAAAACACGTTTGGGGTGCGGTTGTGTCTACCTGGCTCTGCCGGTCTGTGTGTTTTGGCCGAACTTGTCGCCTACAGAAAGCCTGATTTAGCGTAGCCTGCGCTTCTCTGGATAAGTGTGTAAAAATGGGGAAATATTAACCATTTCCAAAATTTAAAGAGGAGCTTTGGCACCATGCAATGAAATTTGTTTTGGTTTTATCACATTTTTATTAATCATTATTAAAATATGCCTGAAAACGCGGGGCGTATTTAAACCATATCAAAATACCCGGATGTGTATCACGCTGTTAAAAAGAAACGGGATGTGGTTTCAATGGAAGGATAGTGTATTTTAGGTATTGCCGTATTAGTCAAGTACTATTTTTTAAAACAGGCATGCACATTTGTTTTACATATGAATTAAAGATTCTGACTCGGATTTCGGCTTCCGATATCGCTTTAGGGTTAAGGAGCCCATTAAAATATCCGATGCTATTCGGGGTGGGTGACCATGCGGATTTGGGCATATGTAAGGCTTTGTTGTTCTTCGCAATGCTTACTTAGAACTACCGAATATGATAACTTTCATGTGCGTTGAGTATACACTCCGCTATCCTCCATTACTGGGATTTTGTTGATTAAGCAAACGACTGTAAGACTTGCTTTTGTATTAATAGATATATTTTTAAAATAAAACGTTCCGCTTCTAAAAAAAAAAAAAAAAAAGCGACCAGGCTTAATAAAGGCCGCGGTGGGCGGTACGTTTTGAAAGCGGTCAATGAAAACAACACATTTTTACATGACAGCACAACGCACCAATAGGAGAGCGCATAGTGGTTGTCGGTGCGCTTTCCGTGGTTTGAGGGCGCCATACACGCATAATTCACTTAGTACACCGGAACTAAAGAAAGTTCTAGGAGTCGTGAGTTTCTTTCTTTGAGGCGTTCGCGTATTAAGCGTATCCGTTTTAGAGGACGGAGCCGATTGCGATTCTCGTTTCTGACCAGCAATGGCGACGGGAGCAAATGCGACTCCTTTGGGCAAGCTTCATCCTAGTATTGGCGCAAAGCGAGGCTTTGAAGCCGGGCCTGGCGCTGGGGTAATGGCACCACCGAGCCCTCCGGTGTCTTTCGCGACCGCTCAAAATGTGCAGCAGCCCCCACAGTTACCCGTTAATTTTCCGCAGGCACAGCAGTTCACTCTAATCGGCGGAGCATTCCCGCAGCCCCAGCAATCGCAGCCGAGTGCCGGGATGCAGCCGTCTTCGGGAGGTGGAGGTAAAGCAGACCGTCGAGGATAATGGGGCCGTTTTGGGGGGGGCGGTTGCATTAAATGGCTGCCATCTTGATCTTGCTAATTCGTAACTTATTATGCGCATTGGAAATCCGGCGGCCACTTAAAACGGCTCAGCTTAATAATGAACCGTGCTCCGTTAACCGTGTGGCGCTTAAAGACGCAGTGGTTACGTAAAGTTGGCCCTTTTTTCCGCCGCGCGCGCGCGGGGGGGTTTTAGCTGTTAGCCGTTAGCTCGGTCGGATCGGCGCAGCCACGCGCCCCGTCCTTCACGCGGCCGACCTGCTCCCGTTTAACCTTGCGAGCCAAACGTGTCTCTTTCGCCGGGTTGGCGGTGCTGTAAAATGACCATCGTGTGGCGGGGTGATGAGATGATGTGCGAAGAGCGGAGTTTGAGTGGGGAAACGAATGGAGGTGGTGGTTTGGGACTGTGGAGGCTCATCATGAATAGGCCGCTATAGTCACCCAGTGCAGACCTGGTACACCACTTCAAGGGAGTTGAACAAAATAATGACTTGCTCGAATTTACATTTTCACACCCTTTGACTGTAGGCCCGAGCCCTAACGCGGCGAAACAAAACATTCGAAATAGAATCGGACATATCAGGATGATTTAGGTAGACATGCTTAGGTCGGTGATAGCGGCCACAAAACGAGGTAGGTGTGTAGACAGGCTGTGGCCTCTGTCCTGACCAGCAGAATGTTTGTTCTGGGATGCACAGAATCGGTGGCCGTGCAGTCTGGACCTTTTCCTTTACTTAGTGCAGGAAGCCCAGCGGAAATGGCCGGTCAAGTCTGAATCAACACATTTTTCCCATGTATCCGAGTGCAAGTACACAGCAGTAGAACTGTTTGTTACGATGTAGACATGTTTGTGGGAAGTTTGGTCCGGTGTGCATGGTTTTTGGGTTGTGTTTCCATGATCTGTGAAAT